TGTGTATCTCATCAGGAGGTATATAATATCTGGTTGTCACTCTTTTGGTAACGGAAAAACTTACCAGTGGACTTAGGTGTTACCAGTATGAGTCATCCATTGTAAAGTTCCTCATCAATCTTTTATCTAATTATTTTAGCTGCCATTGAGGTCTGTAGGCAGATTTTTTTTAGAACTATACATTTTATGATCAAGTAGCATATTATTTTCTGTATGCTTCTGGAGTTAGTCAGCAATTCCTGAGTGACTTTGTCTAAGATTTTTTACCAATTACAATAGTTTTTGTAATTAGTTAGGGATGTTTACTAGATGACCTGAAATTGTTCTTTTGACATCTTCTAGGTTATATCAAGACAGTGTTTTAGGGTGGGCTTGAATAATACTTTATTCAGTTCATTGATGAATGAGTCGGAATTCCCTATACACTGAAGTAAGTAGTGTGGACTGTTGGCAATTTTCATAATAAGGGCTATCTGTGAGGATAGGCTCCCATAGTAGCTGCAAAATCCCATTACGAAAGTGGGCTAGATCTTGAGAGGCTGCTAGATTTTCTAGATTTAAAGCAGTCTAAGCTATGCAGATTTGTTTTGTTTCTTTGCTTTATAATGTGACATTATTGGTCTGAGAAGCATAAGTAACTAATACAGAAGTCACACAAGTAGTTGCCTGCAATAGAGAGCAGAGAAATACCATATTGTTTTTTGTTTGTTTCACTCAGCTTTCTTTTCTGTATTCTTGAAAAATGTCTTAAAATTTTATTAAGTTACATGAGGGCACAAACTATGTCTGCCTTTTCCTTGAGGGCATAATTCCTTGGCCCTGGAATGGACTTTATTAATGAAAAAATTGATTATTTATTATTATTATTATCCCATTTGTATGCTAAGGAAAAATTTATGAGGCTGTCTGAGCAGTGTTTCTTATCCTCTTATGCCCTGGTAGGATTTCAACAGTTGTTGGATTTATTAGATCTTGGAGCATTGCTCCTACTACTTACTTAAAAGTTGGAGTGAAGACAATCTTAGGTCATACTTTTTTTAAATGACTGAACCTAAATATATAATATTGTTAAAATATCATAATAATTTCTGCAGCATTCCCACACTGTGCTGATAAAACTAGTTTCGGTCTTGAGCCCCTGTAATAATGCTTCAGTCCAAACAACATTCTCAGTTGCATAGAAGTTATCCTCCTGGTAATCAAATGAGAACTCAAATGATAAACTAAAAGGCTGTGCTTAGATTAATTGTTATTTTTAATTACTTGGCCCTGGAGTTTTTTGTTTGTTTGTTGGTATAAGAGTCCATCTCTAGTTGTTCATTTTTCTATTTTTATTAAAATGTATGTTACTTACTATGTAACTACCTAATTGAAGTATGGACTTTGCCAAACTCGGAAGGCACTGGTTCAAAAATGAGAAATGCTTAGGAAATATGCTGTGGAGAGATCCCATCAGGTCACTCTTTCTCACACTGCTACTCTAGGTTACTTGCTTACCTATCTTGTTGACATTAGACTTCTTTGCCTACCCTTGACCTATTTGACTTTTGAGAAGATCTTGGATACATTGCTAAATAGTAAGTTGCTATTTTATGTTTCCATTGTGCCTACTGACCCTATCATATAACAGTAAAATATTGAAGATGCCTATTTTACATAATGATTTTCTACAATATTTAGTGTGCTTTGTTTGTTTATTAACCAACAGGATACAAATAGTTGGATTTTTGGCTGCATAAACAGCACTTCTATGTGGTGAGTCTTTTGAACCTCCATTGGTCATTTTTCTTAGCATAAACAATACTCACATATCACACATAGAGAGTAGCTTCATATACTTTTAAGCGCATTTTGGTGCTGTACTAAATTACAATATTGATTTTAAAGTGAAAAAGGAAATTGATGTACCAGTAATTTTTTTAAACATTGAAATACTTGGTTGCTAGGAAAAACAATTTTTTGTTCCCAAAGGGACTGTGTGGATAGACTATATCGGATTAGACTTAATAGACTTCATTTCATTAGAACTCTCCCTGATAGGTCTGTAGATGGTTTCTTTTTCCTCTGAAGCTTATTTATAATTTAGAATACTTTAATATATTTGTCCCTTAATTGTATTTTCGTATTTATTTCATAGCCGGCAAGGGGTTGACTTGTCATGGAAAGCTGAACTGCTGCCAACAATTAAGGTAAATTATGGCTTTAGAATCTTAATATTTAGTTGAAATATTGGCATTTTAGAATGTGCTCTTTTATTAATTCATCTAGGTATTAACTAAACTTGAGATTTGCTAATATGCATTTTAGAAAATTTTCTCTAGAAATGGAGAAATTTGAAGGAGAATAACATGATTTTTTTTCTGACTTTATGAAGTAAAAACTCTTAAGTTAATAATGATCTAAATTAAATTAAATCTATCTGTTATTGCATCATACCAAGAGCTAGGTACATTTTTAAAATTCAGTTTGAGAGTATGTTTGGATGGTCTGTCCTAAAAATATAAGCTGAGTAGTATACTCAGAATCCATTTCATGAGAGGATCTACAGTAGGGAAGTGAGCATCTTAAAGAGACACAAAGCAATTTTTTAGATCAACTTCAACATCACTTTGTGGTCAATCATTTTGATAATGATCTGCTTTTTCTGGTACTCCATGGGATTTATTTAATAATTTTTAGTGACTTCCTTAAGCCACTCTGGTAGGTCAGCAACTCTTTTTGTTACACAAGGCTAATTTGCACCTCAAAAGCTATTATTGAGAAAGTAAAATAATTCTAAAATTTCATGAAAATATCTGTTCTAATTTCCTAATTATTTTTATTATAACTGATAATCTCATGCCAGAACTGATAGTTTTCAGAATTCACATAAATCTATACTTTAAAAATAAAATATATTTTCATAATGAATAGACTCATAGACTTGAAAGTGAAGTCATCCTGTTGGTCCCAGTCATCTCCCACTGCAATTCAACTATTTAGTTGTGCTTATTGTTTATATGTATCCACATGCATAATCAACTCTGTTACACCAACAGAGAGGAACTTAAACATACTAACTGAGAGGAATGGTGACAGAATGAATAATTGCAGTCACTTACACTTGACTTTGGAATGGTTGCAATTATTTTTTCTGTCACCTTTGTCACTCTTACTTTGTGCATATCAATTCATGTGGCTTTGTATTTATGAAACAAATATTGTGGGGAAATTATTTGTCTCATATAAACATGTTTAAGGTCTCTCACTGGTTTCATTCTAACATTCTAGACAGGAACAAAACAAAAATATTAGGATATACTTACTGATCGACCATTCATAAAATATTTAAATACTTTCTTGAATATCCTATTTGGATATACTATCCAGTCTGTAATTTAAGAGTTAGGAAGTCATAGGTGATTTTTAAAAACCTGATAAAATGTTACTTTACTCCTTTTTCTTAAAAGGTATTTTTTTTAATTTCAAAGACTAAACAATATATTCACCTAGTTCTAGGCCCCTGTGTTGTTTGTTCTAAATGTAAGAAACAGGTGGCCGAACAGCAAGAGAACAAAGTCTTCCAGCTCCTTACTTTTTTTTTTTTAAAGATTTTATTGGGGAATTGGGGGAGGGAAACAGTGTTGGGGAATCGGGGATAGGGAACAGACAAGTTGCTGTCCTTTTGTCCTTCAGTCTAGTTGTGGAGGACATCGCTTCACTGGCCCATGTTAGTATTATCATTGCGCTCTTCCCAGGTGAGGCAATTGCTGGCCGGCCATTGGATGGCTGCTCATGGCGGCTCACGACAGCTCACGCCAGCTGCCGGCCGCTCACGGTAGCTTATGGCGGCCCACTGCTGCAGGGACTGCAGCCTATGCCGTCACCAGCGACTCACGGCAGCCCAGCTCCAGGTTGGGCTGTTGTTCACCATCTTAGCTGTAGAGGGCACAGCATCACTAGCCCTCATGTGGGATCCGAACCAGGGCTCTGCTGCTCAGAGCTCGCACTCCCAAGCCAACTCTTAACCAACGAGCCACTTGGTTGGCCCGATTTTTACTTTTTATAGTTAATGATGGAAGAGACTGCCAGGCAGTATTACAAGTGTACTAGCATTTATGGGGGGAAAAAATGAAAGAGAGAAGTTAGAAAACAACGATTACAATATTCTGTAATCTTAAATGTCTTCAGTTGAAGAGTATTATAATTATTAAAGTTAAATAAACTTTTCTGTTGTAATCAAAATCAAAATTTTATGTGTGTTAGCCATTTATAAAAATCACACAGAATTACTTTCCCATGAAGTTGAAGGGAAAGGAAAGATTAAAGTGAAAAAATGTGGATTTTATTCATATTCATATCATTGCAACAAAAGTAATGCCAGTTAAGAATCATATCACTTTTGGCATCTCTGCTGATTGTACTGTTAATAAATAGACGGAAGCCTCCAGAAAGGACTTGTAAATTCAATTTTTAAATACCAATCACATGGAACTTTTCTGTCATGGGTATAATGAAGAAATTTCTAAAAACACAGAAGGCCAAGAATTTGGTAAGCCCAAATGGACTTATTGGTAAAAACAAACAAAAAAATTAACTTTCAAAAGAAAGTCCAGTTATATGATAAAAATTACCCAGTCACTATCTGGTTAAATCATACGTTAGCGCTGCAGCGTTGCCTTACACACAGCGGCAGAACTTCAAGGGTTTCTGACATCGCAACGCTGGTGTTTCATTTCCTCTGGGTGGTACCTTAGCATTAAAGGCATTTTACTATTGCAGGTTTAATAAAATGCTGAAAATTTTCCAAACTTCATATTAATCTTACCTATCAACATAATGATTTGATGAATATTATTATATTGTTGAATTTCTACTGACAGCATTGTAACTATTGGAACTTAACTCTATAAAGAAATGTATTTTGACATGGATTCTTTTTAAAAATATTCTGATCCTAAAAAAAAGAACCTTTAGAAAAATGTTATTCTTGAGAATAAATAACAAAAGATGTTAGAGTGGATAGTTACACAGAATATCCATGGTTCTTTCTAATTAATTTATCTTTCATACTATCTGTTATCTGTCTGGTTGGTCTCATGTGCCTTTGCTGTGGTTTGTGTGGCCCTTTTAAGACCCTTTCATTTATATTAGAATATATGTCTGTTGCAGAAACTTTGCTGAGTAAGTTGAGGTGAAGCCCAGGAGTGTTTTCAACAAGCACTCCCAAGTAAATCTGACCAGGTTGTTAGAGAGCCACTTACTCATTGGCAGACAGTTCTTTAGCTTCAGAGCCTCTGCCTGGACTTGCGCACGTAGGTGCATCTGAAGAACAATGGAGAAAGTTAAGTATCTGCAGAAATTTCTTAAAGCATACAAATTGTTACAACATATAAATACTCCCAACCCTACATGTACTTCCAGAAAAAAAACTGGATTTAAAAACTGTGTTTGGTGGCGTCCTTTTCATGAAATAGACCAGTCTCCTATCTACTTATTCCTCAAAATATGGACTGTACGATCTGGTCTTAATTTTGAGAAGAGAATAGATGTTCATTTGGTGAGGTGCGCTATTAGCCTTATTGTGTCTTCTTGTCATTTACTGAATAAGTTCCAGGGGATGATATTCATATATATCATTAGCCAGCAACTCTGTACTACTTGGGGTAGATCACAGTCTTTTGAGATTAAGTTCCAACTTTTCCATCATATTTAGCACTCATTTATTCATTCATTCATCAGCTGTTGAGTCTCTGTCGTATACTAGCAAAATAAATAGACATAATACTGTAACATTATGAAACAAATAGACAAATTATAAAAAGAAAGACCAAATCTGGAAATAATTATGTAAAATATTTAAATTTAGTGTTAAATGTCATTTGTTTTTATATGAATGGATGCAGTTCAAGGATTATTTTTTGTAGTACACATTTACATAATTAGTAGGAATTTGAGTTTCAGCAGGATGATTAACCTGAAAATGTAAACATGGGTATCTTATGACGTGTTGAACATAAAGTTTGAAATCTGTGTTTTTGTAAGTTATTAAGAAATAGTGTTTGTAATTTATTTTTCTTTTAATGTTCTTTAAGCTCTAAATACCCTAAGAAATAATATCAGCTTTTCACTTTCATCTTTTTTTTAGTCTCTGACGTTAAGACTTCAAGACTATCCATCTTTGTCACATCTTGTTGTTTACGTACCATCTATTCATGGAAGTAAGGTAACAAATGGATTAAGGTTGTTATCAGAATGTTTTGGGAATATTCATGCTAAATATTTAAGTTGTTTTTTGATGATTTCTTCAGCATTGGGCTTATCCAAAACAATGGCACTTGGGTGCTCCACCTAAGACTGTTAGGATCATCTACTCTGACTTGAACTAAGCAGAATAAACCCAAGTCTCTTTGTTCCAAGTGGGAATTAGTTATACTTTTATCAGTCTTTCAAAATCTGTTATTACAACTAAAAAAAAACCCTGTCGATTATTGAGTACCCTTTTATGTATAAACTCTATGCCAAGAATTATAGAAGGCACACAAATGAGGAAGAAACAAACCCTGTTCTCAAAAAGCTAAATACTGTTGGGGAAGAGAAATACATTTGGAAATGGGGAAGAGTGACAATAAAAGAGGTACCCAAAAATATATATCACAAATCAAAATATGGGAAATACATGAAAAGTGTAAAGGGAAGATATAACTGATTGATGGAATCATGAAAGGCTTTATCATGAGGTGAGTTTAAAATTGCCTTAGAGGATAGTTAGGGTTTCTATAGGTAAAATGAACATTCTAGACATGTGCTATTCAATAAGGGGGTCACTAGCATGTGTGACTATTTAAATTTAATAAAATTAACTAAAAAAAATTAAATAAAACTAAAAATTCAGTTCCTGGATTATACTAACATTCAAGATGCTAAATAGTAGCATCATTGCAGAAAGTTATAATGAACAACACTGTTGAGAAAGAGAAACAGTGGGAGTCAAGCATGAAAGTATGAAAGCCTGAGGTATGTGTGAAAACAGTGAATAAGTACATAGTAATTTTAAAAGGATTCTACTCAAGGATGGCCCCCATGAGTAGAATACTAATGGAGAAAAGTCTGAAACAGCAATTCATAGCCATATTGTAGAAGACCTTAATTCAAAGATTCAGGACTTTACAGAATTAAGAAGTCAGTAGAGAGTTGAAAGATTTTTCACCATACTAGTAATGGGATCAGAGCTATTTTGGCAGATGACTCTATGGTATAGGATAGATGAGAAACACAGAGAGTAGGCACCTCATAAGGAGTTATGAGAACTTGTACTAGGGAAGTGGAAGTAGAAATAAAAGGGTGGTGAGTTTTGAGAGAAGTGGGAGGGAAGGAGGAAGATGGAGGTAAAAGACCCTCTAGTAACCCTTGCACATTTCACCCAATAAACTTATCCTTTAAGATCTAGCCTAAGTATTCCTGTTTTCTTTCAGGACTCCTCCAATAACCTCTTACTTACTCCCATGCTACTTTGTTTATAACTTATTTGAGGAATTTATTACACTGAATTATAATTTATTTGTTTTTATCTCCACTGCCATCACCATACTGTGAATTCTTTGAGAATAAGGACCAGATATGTTTTATTCTACTTTGCCTCTTCAACCTTTAGGTACTATCTGAATAATGTTTCTTGATTGAGAAAGTTGATGAGATTTTTGGCCAAAATCATTAGAAAAATTTAAAAGGAAAAAGGGGATGTAGTTGAGAATCTTCTCAAAGATTGAATCTCACAAGTAGCTTATAATGGATTCATTGTTTTGTTTTGCTTAGCTCAAGTGAGAGGTAATTCAACATCTTCAATACTAAAAGGTCTCTTTAAGGGTTTTTCTGTCAGGTAAGTTGGTTTTGAATGAATTGAACATCTTTCCCAAACTTGGAAAGACCATCCCTGGTTACTCCAAGAAATTAATGAGTTTTCACAAACAGGAATGTAATATGTAATATACCTTAATGCTCTTTGGAAAGTAACACTTGCTGATACTACTGTTGGGTACACTATCTCACTAGGATGATAACTTAGGCCTTTCATAATTTTTGCATGTCTGTTAGAGCCTATTATCATAACGATACATATATTTAAATAAGCAGTTTAAAAATGTTTAAGTGGTAATATAGTTTTCAAAATACAAATGTGGAATTATCTGTATTTTTTTGATGACAGAAAACAGAAGAACTAAATCCACTATAAATTTATTTACTTTGGTTGTTTCAAAGAGAGACACTTGAATTCTTTTTTTCTTGGGGAAGGGTTTATTCCATAGGAAACATGGCCAAATTTGTAAAGCAATTATAAAAATTGTATTATTGGGTTGTCCGAAAAGTCATGACGTATTTTTCTATGTTTTTCGTTGCAAAAATGCATCATGACTTTTTAGTCAACCCAATATTTTAAATACCTGTACAAAGTGACTTAAATTCTCTCCCTATCTCAGGTAATAAATAGCTAACTCAAAAATACTTTGTAAAAACATGATTAGTAGTTCTGTTCAATAAAGGATTTCTCTAATATTTTAATAGCTGCTTTGTAAAATGAAAATGTGTTCTTTGCCTTGTTAAGAGGGAAAAATAAAAGCAAAGAACTGTAACATGTTTTTCCATTTATTCCTTTGTGTATACTACAGCATAATAGCATTTTCCCTCATCTCTTTTTCACTTTCAAAAACAATAAAAAATTTACTCAGAAGGCAAACACAATAGCACTGCTTCAAACACAATCCAGGGTGTAGTTATTAGAAAAGCCTGGGATAGACCCCATTGGCTTTCTGCTTTCCATAGACAGCAAACTATTTGCTAACTGCAATTCGGCATCAGATTAATTTCTTCTTCAGCTCCTGTAAATTAAAGTAATAATGAAACTGTTCTTATTGTAGACAGCTAAGAGCAGAGTTCCTAATGCCTTTGTAAAAAAAAAAATGTTATTAGAAACATCATTACAAAAAATTTTAATGATGCAGATGTCACATTTTAGGTTTACTTTTTTTGAGATGCCATTTCTTTTTCTTGCTTCATACGTAGTAAACCTTTTTTCCATTTACTATAATCACTGTTTAGCCTGAAATAATCTTACACAATAACATTAGTCATCTGTTGATGAATGGCAGTATGTCTCCAAAAGCCTTTTGTAGTCTAATTAGACTGTAGATACTTAATAGATGTGGGATTTTTAAAAAAGGAACAATGACATTTTCATTTTGACTATGGAAGTATTCAAATGTATTATCTAAATCTCTAATTAGTCATGAGTTAACCATGGCTCTTAATACTTAGCTCCATGCTTTAATGTCCCTCTTCTAGAAACATGTAACATTAACTACAAGAATACTTTGTATACATCTGTTGTTACAGAAATGACCCTCTAATAATTCATCTGTCAAATTACACTTGTTTATCAAATTTTCTTGGGTTAGCATCTCTACTCGAGGAATTCTTGCCATTTAAGTGTAGCCAGAGTTAGAGTGTGACACACGTTATCTTCTCCAAAGCTAAAGACTTTTATTTTCTACTCAAACATCCAAGTCAAGATGTTTTACTATAAGTTCAATTCTGTTTTCTTCCTCATAAATCAATGTTTTATATTTCAGTTTGTTGTAGATTGTGAATTCTTTAAAAAAGAGACAAGATCCATACAGCTCCCTGTAACTCATCTCTTTTCCTTTGGTAAGTATTTTGATTTCGGAAATCTTAAGAATTGCTTTATCCTTCACAGAGTGCTGATTTATTTTGCAAGTTAGCTGCAATAAAGCAGAGCCATGTAACAAGAGTACTGTTGTGTATTTCAAGTGTGGTTCTCAGAGAAACAATCTGAGGTGTATCAGTGATTTGATTCTTACTTAATATTGGGCCAGCAGTCATCTTCTGAGAAGTGAACTTGAAAATAAGTTTCTCTGTGATCACATACATTGGCAGGTAGTTGTGTGTTTGTGTGTGTGTTCTCATGTCAATTTATACTAAATGTCGGCCCTTTTTATAAAAGGCTTATTATAAGGTATAAATTCTATCTGTCCTATGAAGGTTTCAAAATTTCTCTAAATATTTTTTACAATTTTTTTTACTGTGGTAAAATACACATAACTACATACATAACTACATATTCTTTTAAATTTTATTATGAAATAATTTTAAACTTACAGAGAAGTTACAGAAAGAGTACAGAGTTCCTATATTTCCTTCAGTCATGTTTTTAAAATGTTGACCTCTTAAACAATACAATTGTCAAAACTAAGAAATTAGCATTTGTATAATAGTATTAACTAAATTACAGGCTTTATTTGATTTTCTTTAGTTTTTTTACCAATGTTCTTCTCCAGGTTCCTACATTGCATTTAGTTGTCATGTTTCTTTAGTCTCTCCGAATCTTTGATAGTTCCTCAGTCTTTCCATGTCATTCATAATTTTGAAACCTTTGATGAGTAAGGTCAGTTATTTTGTAGAATATCCCTCAATTTGGATTTGTCTTATGTTTTCTTATGATTAGTTGAGGTTATGCATTTTTGGCAAGAATATCACAGAAGTGATGGGTACTTCTCAGTGTATCATATCAGAGAGCACGTGATATCACTGTGTTAAGTGTGATCACTTGGTTAAGGTGGTGTCCGCCAGGTTTTTCCACTGTGAAGTTACTGCTTTCCTTTTTGTAATTAATGAATATCTTGGGAGAGATAACTCTGAGATTAAATATCCTGTTTTTCTTCAAACTAAACCACCAGTCTTAGCATCCATTGATTTATCTAGTCTGAGGTAATTATTACTGGTATTCTATGTGTATTAGAATACTTCCTAAGGAAACGTTGTCCTTTCTCCCTGATTTATTTATTTATTCAGTTTTTATTTATGTCAGTAATGGACTCATGCATATTTAATTTATTCATTGGATAATAATCCAGCACTATGTTACATTTTTTTGCTTAAGTTTTGGCTTTGGATGTTGGAATCTTTTTTGGTTTGCTCTTCTGCCCTTATCTGCCATTCATGAAAAGAATCTATATTACTTGATAGAGGAAATTTCCTGTAAGATTTTTAGACACCCCCCCAACCTCCCCTTTTTTTTTTT